TGAATATTTTTGTTCATTAGTAACATTTCCATTGTTTCCTGTTATTTAGTAAGAGATGGTTAATCGCACAACAGGATCTGGTAAAAGCACTCGACTTCTCAGTACCTTGCAACAGCTCCCTTAAAGTATCAGATTCAGATTAGAAGGAATGTGATACGTTGATAAACTTTGATGCTGCTCACCCCATTTGTGGTTTTCAGCAAATTATCTAAAATTTTGAATCCGAGGTTCTCGTTTTAATTACATGCTCTTATAAGTGTATAATAATATTCGTCAGAACCACTTGTTATGGCCATTGTTGAAATCGTTTCATACACACGCCTGAAGATCTGCATACGTAACACAAAAAAAATCAGCTGCAATAAATTTGCTATCATCTCATTTGATTGAATAGACCGTCGTTAAGGGGATGTTTGCTACTCGAAGTTTTGTTGATTATATGAATTGTCGGGTTTGGTTGGTCAATAGCAGTAGGGTGCAGAGAGCAGGAAGTAGGAAGTATGATGGCTAAGGACCACTGTGGAATTATCAACAATGTTAGAAACATCATTTATAGATGAGGATGTTTATATGAAGGATACAAACGTAGCTGTTGCTTTCGATACCTGTGGTTGATACCGAGAAGGTGGAGGGTAGATGGCTAGTGTAAACGGGTGTTTGTTCTTTGAAGTTGTCCTACGTCGCGAGGACAATGCTTCAAATTTCGATGTTGAGACCTTTTACTAGGCATGCGTTAGTCAGTGATGGTTGCTAATAAATTCTTATTTTCATGCTGGCATGCATAATTGCTGTCATTTGGGACTATTGAATAAACAAAACAATTGCCTTGGAAGTAAAATCTTATAAGTTGATACTTATAAGCATAATTATTATTTATTCTTAAAAGTTAATACTTGAAAAATCTCCTACATTTAAGTTTTTTATAAGTCTTTACTTATTCCTCATCATAATTACAATTGTTTACTTGGATATCGGTGTTAACGGTTGCGCTTGCAAGACAGGTAGTCTCGACAAGTCTGTACCTTTTTGATACGGTGTGTACAATGTTAGTTGTCGATCAAAATTTAGAGGTATTGCTATAATCATGGCGTCGAGTGAGAAAGAATTACCTGTCCAGATTGGCCGTTAGAGACTTATATTCACCAGGTTATTGAAAAATCATAGAGTTCTTTTGAATAAACCAATGACTCCGTCGATGTTTCAAGCTAAATAAAAGGCATGGAAGAACATCAAAGACGAATTTGTCAAGACTCCTTGTACAAGTATTACCATTGAGGAATTGAAAAAGATCCTCAATTACATGAAAACAGATGTAAAGAAAAAAACTGATGAAATTACTACTGATAAAAAAATTAAACTACGTGAGTGGGAAAATCAATTGTTATGAAAAAAATCCAGTGTTCGTAAAAGTTCCTGGGGGTTGTTTCATTGGAAGTCAACGGAAAAACAGATACACCCGACAATATTGGATCAACAAGTATGAGTTCACAGTTACCTCCTTTACCCACAGAAACAATAGACAAGCGTCGAAGGAAGAAAACGTTCAAGAAAAACACATTTTGTTCATGATATTACATAAAAATTCACCCTCTGCGGTAAAAAATGATCTGATAAATAGTCAAGTTTCGCTTTCAAATCGCAATAAAACCCTAGATTTGCTAGGATCTATGCTTGTTCTTTCTCTCCAATTTTTTGAGTATTGCGAACACTTATTAAGCTTGCCATTATTAAAATTATGCTTCTCTGCAGGTATAAGCAAATACTTTCTTTTTTTTTCGATAGACCCATTGCCACAGAGTTATCAGTGCTGTCTTTTGTGGTTATATGCAGTTTGGATGAATTTTTCTTGATTCCTCATTGGAAGATAATATGTGTCGGAGGCTTACTAAAAACATCATTTGGTTCATGACAAGAAGGCAAACGCACAGTGACTTTAAGGTAAGACGAATAATTGGAATAAGCCATCCTGAGTATACATGCTAGAATTAATGACGCATTTAGTTGTGAAGCTGCGCACTATTCATCGTTCTTTTACATAGAATTTTATTGAAGATTATGCTGTTAGAATAATCAATGCTAAAGAAACTGCGTATAACAATATCAACCATAAACGTAAGAATTGTCCATATACTGCAACGTTAGTGCATAGTAGACGTGTCGCAGATATGCTGCAAAGTTTTTTAATGAAATTAAATAATAGGCGATTGATTTAAAGGATGTTTGAATGTATTAACGCCTTGTTTTTTCCCTCTAGCTCTCAAAGCTATATCGGAGCTTACCAAATGCATTGGAAAACGTTCGACGTCAATATCATTCAACAATGTAAGTGGATATGTCATATTGTAATGTACAACAATGATACATTCCTCAGCAGACGTTATTATTATAGTTGCTGTCTACAGTTTATAATGTAGGATCTTTCACCAAGCATCTGAATTGATTCAACCTATGAATCGTTCAACTTTACTCCTGCGTCATACAAGCGCCAATGTGAAGCTCTTTTTCCTGCCGAGATGTTGGGATTTTCAGTGGAGTCAACAACCATGGCAAGCAAGGCTACCCAGAATTTCCTAAAACGGTTTTGCCTTCACTAGTCCTTACAAGATATGCTAAGAGAGATAAGATTCAAAAATCTTCTCGGAATAACTATCTACCACTGTATACAATGTATTGCGCTTCAATTGATCTAATTGAAGTGATGTACATTTTGAGATCAGTTGACGTACCTTCTTACGCAACTTTCAGTTTCGAGTTACTCATGCAACTTTCATCCATATCAATTTCTTTATGGTTTTAATCTTCACATGTACTATTGCTTGAAAATCACATTGTTGCTCAAACTTAAATTGATACATTTAGATCTCTAAGATCTGTATGGCGCACACGATTAGCTACAGCTTGTATTTGAGGTGAGTGCAGCGTTGACATCAACATGAGTTCCTTTTAATTAAAGCTACTAATAAGCGGACAAAACTCAATGAAACTCTCACGACTAACAATAATTATCGCCACAACACCATCTGGGACAATCTGTCAACTGAAACTCGTACTGTCCTCCGATGAATAAGTACCCATCTGGAGAGGTATCAAAAACTGAAGACCTCGGGAGAAGAAGGGGATATGCCCAAAAATATGGTTTTGGAACAATGGATTTAAAATATTCGTTCAAATCCTGAAATCAACTTTTCATATGAGTAAATTAATGAAACTCAGCAACATATCAATGAATATATATATATATATATATAGGTGAAAAATTAAAGCTTCCGCCTTTTGTTGGGTACTTCGGCAAAATTTGAGCAAAGAGGACTCTTTATACTTTTTTTAATTCGCTCTAGCTTTCAATGGACTTTGCCATCATCATCAGGAGCTGCAATTATAATGATAATAGTAGCAACAAAAGTGTAAAATGAATTTAAATTGACTCAACTTACAGTAGTATGTGAGGATGTTGCTAATTGTTGTTTACGTATAGGATGAGGGAAACGTCCAGTAACATGGTGAGAGCTGGATAGATGGTACAATGGTCAAAATTATATAAAATATGACAAGACAAGTTAAAAACAGATTAAACATTATTTAGAAAACATTAGAGCATTACATCGTGAAGCCACTTGATGATTGCACAAAATGGTGGTCATGGAATAATGAGTGAGATGAACCTTTGACAGAAGGCCGAAGGTTGTCAATGTCTGTGTTGAAAGATGGAACGAATTGTGGGCGTGTGCCAAACGTTGCCAGATCACTTCAGATGATGTGATTTTCAGAATGTTATGTAAGAAATTGTTAAAAAAGGCGGAAGCTTTAATTTTTCACCTAACTGGTCTAGACGACAATGACCACGTCTCAAGTTATATATATATATATATATATATATATATATATATATATATATATTTAAAAATGATAAAGAAAAAACACATAACCTAAAAAACTTTTTGGATTCAAAATTTTTTTAAAAAACACGTGGCCTATCTCGTTTTTACCCTAACCTTAACAGTTTTTTTGGTCAAAATAGGAACACTGATACAAAATTCACTAAAAAGCATAATATATTCCTAACAAACTACAAACATTTGAAGGTAAGATGTAACTTAAATATTTTAATCAACAAAAAATAACTGATTCATTCTAAATTATATGAATTTTGTAAAAACTCTTCCAACATTTATTCATCATCTTCATTATAGTTCTCTTCTTCACTGCTGCGAGCATCAAGGTCCTCAACGTCATTTTACTGTGAATTTGTTGTGTCTGCAACAACAATACATGCGCCTATTTCTCGATAAAAATCTATATATGTATATATATATGTAGGCGTAATATAATTACGCAGTTCGGAAAGATATGACACCTTTTTGATGCTTAAAGGAAGCAGTTGATAATATTTTCTTTTCAAGTCTTTTAAACGTAAATAAATACTGCTTCGTGTCCCCCTTTTTTATACTGTGACACTTCTAACTTTTCTCATTTATTGCATGTTTTACGAACATTCTATTGGGATCATCTTGACAAAATTTAAAATTACTAACATAGCTAAAATTCAATTTGTCTTTATCACCCAAAACTTTTTTTCTCACAATTCGACTTAGAAAATCTTTAAATGAAAAAATATCCTCCTGCTTCATGACATTCACTACAAACGGATTTTTTCGTGTTATATTCTTTGCAGAAAATGTGTCTATACCTATCTTCCGACAGAGGTACCAGGTCTCATTCCTTAGACCAGTCAATGTGGTAGTCTTTGTATAGTTTCGAAATATTTAAATCATGGTTTATATACACTTTTCCTGCGTCCTTTTTTCTGTATATTTTGGAATAGCATCTATAGGGTCCCTATAGGATTGCAAATTCTCAGCGGGGTTTTGTTTGGACGATTTTTGTGCTTACCTCGTTTGTCTTTCTTAGGTGTTATTGAACCTCCATTTGACATTTTTTTGTAGTATTTGTATTTCGATTCTTTTTTTGCTGTGCTGGAGGCTGTGAATAGATAAGAATTCTGTTGTGCATAGTTTAACATTTTCTCCGTTCAATTTTACAAAATACTCTATTGAAATGTTTCTGGAAGAAACCAGTTTTTTTTGTTTTCTTTGGATATGACCGCTTTTTAGGAATTGTTTTCATACAAGAATATAAAGTCCCAAAATGACTTAAATATGTCGAATTCCTTTTCTCTTAGCTGTTCCCGGCATTTATCCTTGCAGGTACATGGTGGTCCTAACTCTCTAGCCTCTACCTTAATTCCCTTGTGATTCTTGTAAGTGTGACCCAAATTCCTCTTAATTTTGTTCTTTTCTTTTTTTCTCCATTCAGTCGTTGGTTTCTTCCATCTGGATGGTTTTGATTTTTCTGGAGTCGGTAGGATTCATCTTGAAGTTGTTGGAGTAAGTAGGACATCTGTTGCTGTTCCTGCATTATTGTTGCTGTCTCCCTGTAATAAAAAGTCTGCAATTTTTCTTTGCAACAAAGGGATATGCCACACAAAAAAACAGAAAATGTTATAAAGGCAAAAAGTGGATAAGCCACGATATACATTAATATTTTAGGGCCGTATCGTATTCTAAAAATATATTCATGTAATACTATGGTAACTTACAAATATCCTAACTTTAATTCGGTAACCTAACACAATCAAAAAGAGCTTCCAAAAGATAAGCCACAAAAAATACGTTAAAAACGAGATAAGGCACAACTTTGTTTTTCTTACCTGATCTGTCGAATCCTGTGAAGAATCACTGCTGTTTTCGTGTGCACATGGCACCTCCATGTTGAAAAATACCAGGTGTGTCACTTTATTGCTTGGAAAATACCTGAAATTATTTTCGCGGGAAGAACAACATTTGCAAACTGCAGCGACGTCTATGATTCGATTCTTATAATATTTTGTCAAGACACGGATATTGGTTTGGAAAGTTGCCTTCAGTATTTAGCTTAATGTAGGCCAAAATGTGGCTTACCCTTCTTCATCCGAGGTCTTCAACTTTGGTACGAGTATTGGTGATTACTTTGTTGATTGCAGGAGGCCACGTGTGCTGCTATATTTCGCCATCCAGCCAAAATAAGCCATTCCTTCCGTTACTCCGTTTTTCCCACCGGTTTCGAGTAACAAATGGCTTTCCGTATACTTTCATGTGCGGTTATTGAAAAATTAACAAAAGCTCCCCGTTGAATTCCCAAAAGGCAATATTCATCTGCCAGGGAAAATAATCGCCCCAGGTTACGGCATGGGATGTGCGTGTGCTCCCCTTCTAACCGCATTCTCCTGTGGCTGGTACGGTAACGGAGTGCGGCATTTATCATTGGAGAGGTGGGCAAGCTGCTCAGCTTCAACTTTTTTAGCTGGTATAGCAGATTGATGTTCTTGTTTAGTTTTGGGTTGTCGGCTTCCCGCAATGATTATTGCCATCTTATATAGGGTGTCAAAGTTAAAAAAAAATCTTATTCTTTTTCATTGCTTAAATTTAAAAGATGGTAGGTATTATGAATAAATATTTTTCATCGACCAAGTTGATTTGATTTTAGCAAATTTTCGGCATGTGATTAAATCATTTTAATTTTTTTTCTTGAAAACGGAATCAGATCCGAAGAGGCACCAAAAGACAAAGAGGTTGTACGTTTTAATGATAATTTGGAAAATTAGCATATTATCTTTGAGATATCATTAACGAACGATTTTTCCAACATTGACATATACAGGATGTATCTTGAACTAGACTTTTTAGGACACATCGTTATATATATATCGTCGGTCTCCGCACGTACCGGCGTAACTAACATTGAACAAATTTTACAGGAGAGCTAGAAAACGAAAACCAGCAATAAATGAGGTTGAAAATGACATACTGATCTTTTAGTCTGCACGTTGTTGTTTTTTTTTTGTTAGACTAAAATGAACCAATTTTAACGCAGAGGCGTAAATCTATTTAAGCCGGTCCGTGAAAATTGTTTTCGGAATTTTATAACTTAGCAATTTTCTGAAAATTTTATTCCTTAGCAGCGAACTGATATACAGCTACGTCATTTCGTGAAGCGAGATACTACAAAAAATATGTGAAATTACGGCGTAACTCGATTTTAGATTATTCATCATTTACGCCTGTACGTGCGGAGACCGACGATATACAGGGTGACTTTGAAGTTGAGTCATTAATTTTCAGATAATGATTGTAGAAGGAATATAATCCAAAATATGTGTGTAAAAATAAAAAAAAAATTAAAAAAAAATTTTTACCTTGTTTTAGAAAGTATCCTCCCGACAAGTATTTCAGTGCGGACCTGTATTTGATCGTGAGGTCCCCTGTGAGGTCTTAAGTCACCTGATTCACGAGCCCGTTGTACTACATTAACAAAGGCACGAGGGGTTGGTTGCACTCGATTGGGAAACCGATCCGCATAAACATGTGCCATTTTTTATTTCGTTTGAGCCACGCAACAGATACAACTATTCACTGACACTTACTGTATACAAATGAATGAAATAATTCGTTCCAAATTCTTTCGCTTTTTTGTTTCCGATGCGATGAACCGATACGACGGATTATATCCGTTGTCGCCAAACACGAGCACATTGAGACAGGGCGGTACTCAAACTTCCAAAGGGCTATAACTTTGTTACTTTAGTTTTACCAGAAAAATGGTAAAGGAAAAAAACATTTCTTTTGATCAGATCTACTCACTGTTAAAATAAATGACTCAACTTCGAAGTCACCCTGTATATATATACATGTATATATATATATATACAGGGTGTCCGCAAAGTTGGGGTTTTCCTTTACACGACGCGTAGATCTTGAGAACATATGCAATTTTTCTTAGTACCATATACACCAATGTCTTAAGGGAACCGAGATAAAGGGCTCTGCCACATCAAAAATATCTGAATACCGTCCTGCAGTCGCGACATCACCGACTGGTACAAGGTCACTGGCTCAACCCGACGACAGAACTGGGTCGGGGTCAGTGTGTCAGGTCAGTATGCAACTTTCAACCGACGGTTACGGTCACGGGTGTAGAGGTAATCGCGTAGACGAGAATCCCTCAACAAGCACTAGAGACGTGGCTAGAGAAGTGCAAGTATCAAAAACTAAAGTGTGACAAACGCTGCGTGAAGAGGGGCTGTATCCGTTTCACATCCAACGTGTACAAGCCCTTCAACCTGACGATTTTCCAGCAAGAGTGCGGTTTTGTGAGTGGTTGTTGCATCAACATGACAATAATCCGGACTTTTGAAGTGCATATTGGTGACAGACGAATCTACGTTCACGCGTAATGGGGTGAATAACTTTCGCAACACTCATGTTTGGTCAGTAGAAAATCCGGACGGTGTCCGTCGGGCACATTTTCAACAAACATTTTCGGTGAATGTAATGGGCTGGCATGGTGAACGGTATGCTCATTGGACCATTTATTCTCCCAAATCGATTGGACGGGATGCAATACCTAGACTTTTTACGCAACATTTTGCCTTCCTTGTTAGACGATGTGCCATTAAGTATTAGACAATCAATGTGGTTTCTGCATCTGCTCGGTAGCGCATCAGCTGATTTCATTTTCTGTTGGAGCGGTATGATTTCGGGCAGAGACGTACTTAGCCCTTCTCGTCAACTGGAGAGTGAGTACTTTTTCCTTTATTTTTTTTTACTTGGTCGCCCTCTTTTCACTACACATTACCTTTGTTATTTCAAGGGTAGTTATTTCTGAAAAGGAAAACCCCAACTTTGCGGACACCCTATATATATATATATATAACATTCCTACTTGAATTCGGTTTAGGAATACGCACTGGTATTCAAGACAAATTATTAATGTCAAGCTGTAAAATATCTGAGTTTGGGTAGACAACATTATGATAACTCAAAGTAAAAAGCCTCGGACAACTCACTGGTGTTAACAAACAGCTTTTAAAAATCTGCTTTGAATTAATAACACACAAAAATGTGGAACATTACTTGCCGATCTACGGTCCCCTTAGTGCAAGGGTTTTGATTCTTTATCATTTGTAAGCTTTGAACTCAGCTTCAAGTGATGGTTTGCATTTATCCCGGATTTTTGTCTTGATTTTCTCAACGATAGTTTCTCGTATGAAAACCATAGCATCACCTTTTTAAGTATTTTTTTATACCGAAGCAGCCGCGCAGGCACAAGCTTAAATGCCAGGACACCGCGGCTGCTAAGAGGGCCCCAAAGAAATTTTGTTAATCCGATTTTCAAACTGCCTAAGGCTAGTAGAACTGGGAAAAGCGGTCGTATCGATGTACGATGTTCGATAGGATTAGGATGGGAGGCCGCATGTCTGTCTGGCAGGTACATCGCGCGGCGGCATCATGGAGGAGAGTACTGAGGAGCAAAGCCTGTTGGTCTAGCGGTAGGAGAGAGCTAAATCGCCGACGGCTCGCCGGTATGAAAGTGACCCGAGACTGTACGTTAGAGAAGACTCATCGATCAATCGGACAGCCCTCCTCTGGACAGCAAAGAGCATAAATAATGTCGTCGGGCCCCAAACGTGTGAGCAATACTTGAGGCTAGGTCTTATCTGGGCCTTATATAGAGTGACGAGGTCATGCGGAGAAAAGTACTTCTTAGCCCTAAACAAATAGCCTACCATTGTATGTATTCGTGCCAGATCAAGTACTCGGTGATCTGGACTACGACCAGCTGAAATGAACGGCTCCTAAACTATAGAAGTTTCTCACGTCCCCAAGCAGTGATAACCTCCAGGTCTCTCGTCGCTAGTCTGCTTTTTTCCAGCTCACCTGCAGCGACGGGGTATCGCTCTGAATTCCTGCAGGTAGAGTGCTGTCAACAGCAAAGCTGTGGACTGGGCCGATCGTACAGAAAAGGAGGTCGTTGATATGTAAGAGGCACAGTGTCGGAGCCACGACCAGTTCCTGGGGAACACTCGCGTTGATGTTGTGGGATGAAGAAGAGAATCCGTCAATAACGATGGATATTTCGCGGCAGCCACCCATCTGCAAAGCTTCACTGAGAGGCCATAGGATGGAAGTTTGCATGCCACAGTTGATAGAACGCTTTCGTGATGCCGAGTGCACCCATCGTACGGTCCTATGCTTGAATCTTACTTCCCGCATAGTGTAGGGAACCCTTTGAATCGACGGCACTAGGGCGTTGGGGAAGACGTCTATTTTGTAGTTGGCAGCAAAGATCTTGGCAAGCAGTTCCGCCTTAGCCTTTGAGTCGATTACAATCGTTCGATCATTTCACGTTAGTGGTGGAAGGTTTCGTTATATCTGTTTCTGGACTCGACGTCGGCTTGTCTGTTCTCTAGAGTGGGGTTTCATCAGAACGTACGTGCGTGTGCCTTGATCTTCTGCTGGAAGGCAGTGTCGCACGATTTGTGCAACCAGCCGTTGGATCCTGGCTTAGTCATTTTCACTCTATGAGGGATGTATTCCTCCACCCCAACATGGATAATATTGGTTACCGGTGAGCAGACAGCCTACGTATCCGCGTTATCTTT